AGCTGCACCGCCGCTGCCGGGGCCCCACCTTCCCGTCGACCCCCGCGAGAAGGTCCTGGGGCTGCCACCCTCGTTCCCCCGATTGGGGCCGCAGGTGAGAGACCGGAGGGGTGGGGGTGGGGGGAGGGACCGGAGGGAGGAGACGTTGGGGATGGGAGGGGGGAGCGTGAAACCGGAAGGGGTACCTTAAAGGGGAGGTCGCTATTTCACCACCGACTTTTGCCTGCTGGGCCGGCTCCGCCCTCTTAAAGGGCAAGGGGTTGCATTGAGAGGGCGGGTCAGGCTTTGCATTTTTACAGAAGCTTTCTGACTTAAAACAAACTTTTTCTCTTAAAAGGCGGTTATCTCATTAAAAGCCAGTGGCCGTTTCCCAAACGTTGAAGCAAAAACTCCTGAGTCCTGGTTGCTTCAAAACGATCCCTAGTTTAGCTCAACAAAGGTGGAGATGGGTCTGCAGTGGCAGCATCCCCTTAAAGGGGAAGTCCAGCCTGCTGAAAGGGTGTGGCGCGGCCTTTTAAAGGGGATGCTCTCTTCTTGCTAAATGGGACCCCGCTGTTTCAGGGCACGGATATCGCGTTTAAGGAGGTGCTCGGCCTTCTCAAAGGCACGTGCAGCTTCTTAGGATCAGAAGGTTCTTTTTTTCCTTTTTTTCTTTTTTTGGAGACGGAGTCTCTGTTGCCCAGGCTGGAGTGCAATGGCGCGATCTAACCTGCTTACATATTGAAGGGTACGCTTATCTTTTAAGAAGGAAGTTCTTGGCTGGGCGCGGTGGCTCACGCCTGTAGTGCCAGCACTTTGGGAGGCCGAGGCGGGCGGATCACTTGAGACCAGGAGTTCAAGACCAGCCCGGGCAACATGGTGAAACCCCGTCTCTAGTAAAAATGCAAAAATTAGCCGGGCCTGGTGGCACGCACCTGTCATCCCAGCTACTCGGGAGGCTGAGGCAGGAGAATCGCTTGAACCCGGGAGGCGGAGGTTGCAGTGAGCCGAGATCACGCCACTGCACTCCAGCCTCGGT